AACTCAATCCACTACTGTTGAGGAAACACATGAAAACCATCAGAAGGAACGCAGGCAACTGTGATGAGCCTCTAAGATAGACCCCTGCTGACAGCCAGCAAAGAGCTCTCAGTCTTATAGTCTACCAACCCCAATAAGCTTGCAAGGCTCTTCCCAGGGCCTTCCAAAAAGAGCCCCATTGGCCCATACCTTGAAATCAGTCTTATGAAACCCAGAGCAGGGAAACCAGCCAAGCCAACCCAGACTTTTGACCTAAAAGAACTGGGAGATAATAAATTTGTATTGTTTTAAGCTGCTAAATGTTTGTGAGAATATGTTTTGGCACCAAAAAAAAATTAACACATTAACACCAGAAACATTAGAAAAAAACTGCAATTCAACTTAAGTACACCGCCTACTCTTTCATATTTATTCACCTGCACTCAAATTTAAGGCACTTTGTATGAACCCTATGGCCTACATTTCCTCATTCTAGCTTTGTCTGAATCTTGATTTTATGGTTTGTGTTTTTCCTCAAATTTTGCATTTAGCAATGTATATATTTCCATTTCATAGCTATTTTTATAAAGCTTCTATAAGAGGCTTAAGGGCATAAGGAAAGAAGGCAAAATTGAGGAAAACCTTTCCAGGACTTGATCTTTGGAAAAGATCAGCATTTCTAAGGTGTGACCTGTGCTGTTGTCTTTTTTTTTTTTGAGACAGAGTCTCACTCTGTTGCCCGGGATAGAGTGCCATGGCGTTAGCCTAGCTCACAGCAACCTCAAACTCCTGGGCTCAAGCAATCCTTCTGCCTCAGCCTCCCAAGTAGCTGGGACTACAGGCATGTGCCACCTCAAACTCCTGGGCTCAAGCAATCCTTCTGCCTCAGCCTCCCAAGTAGCTGGGACTACAGGCATGTGCCACCATGCCCGGCTAATTTTTTTCTATATGTTTTTAGTTAGCTGATTAATTTCTTTCTATTTTTAGTAGAGACGGGGTCTCGCTCTTGCTCAGGCTGGTTTTGAACTCCTGACCTTGAGCAATCCTCCCACCTCAGCCCCCCAGGGTGCTAGGATTAAGGCATGAGCCACTGCACCCAGCCCAGTTGTCTTTTCTGATTGTGAACATCTGAGATCTCTGATCAAAGGTAGAAGCATTTCAGAGAGGGGCCTAGCTTTTATAATTGTGGCAATTACTCAATCTCGCTCTCTTGATGAAGGACACATTTTTGAAAGAATAAAGCCAGGGTGGGTAAAAGGAGCCCTCAGAGATCAGACTAGTCAGCACATATACCCCAAAATTTCTAGTCCTCTACTCCTATCCTTATAAGACAAAGAGAAAAGGAATGGAATTTGGACTACCTTCTCCCCTTACAGGATCAGAGCTAGGCAACTTCCAATGGGGTAGACCTCTACTGTGAGATCTGGCAGGTTCTAGAATCTAGAGATCCAAGTTCTAGGCTGGAAATCAAGACAAAATAGGTGAAATCTGTAAATCCACCAGGGCTTGTAGGTTCTTAAGTGCATAATCAAAATTCTTTATTCCTAAATCATCTTCCCATTTGTAACAACAGTACCATTTAAAAGTTGCTCAAGGCACTGTATGGCAGACATTGTTCCAGAAGTTTTCTGTTAATGGGAATACAGTTGGTGATAGGCCAGGTCCAGATACCACATCGGACACACAGACACCTAAAGAAGTTTCCTGTGGGGCCAAGGAAGAAAGGCTTGGCAGAGTCAGGTACAGTAGGACCCACACGCAAAGGTCCCTCCCAAGCCCTCAATGTGGGATCCATCTGGCCCACTAGAGCAGGAGGAATCAGGGAAAATATGCCCCACACACCAAGGGGATTCTGTGGAGCTGCTTCCCACCCCAACCCCAGAGCAAGGCAGACCCACCAAGAACCAACTGGGCTTGACTCACAGGAGTCTGTCCCGGCCAGAGCAGAACTGCCAGACCAGCTCAGGATTGACTCACCCACGCATTCCCTCACATGCTGTCCACAGAAACCACAGCAGCCACTAGTTAGGGTTCTGGCTGGCCTGTTCTTCAACTGCTCCAAACACCCAGGTAGAAGCCACTCACAAGGAGAAAAACAGCCAAAGGCAGATGAATTATATGAGACAGCAGCCCCTGGCTGGGGAATAAACAGTCAAGACACACCAGCCCCGAACTAGAAAAATAGTTGTGAGGCCTCTAAACTGTCCTTCCTAGAGGCCTCAGCAGCCCAGCACAGGTGTCTCGGGTTCGCCCTTGGCCAAACTACACTTCCCAGGAAGCTCAGCAGCCCTACACAGGGGCCTCGATTCCTAGAAAAAGTGGAAAGGGACTAGACACAGGGTACAGTACCATGCCCAAATTCAGCGGAGCTTGGTTCTCCTCAGGGAACCCGGTCCCTATTGCTAGCAATTGCTTCCTTCTAGCTCTTCCCTGGGAGGCCCAACACTCTGGGGCACAAGCTCCGGTGCCCACACTGAGCCCCTTCTGCCCATTGTTCAGGCAGAGGAAACCTCGCAGTAAGTGATTTTTATAATCCCCCTTATACAGCCTTTTTGAGCACATGGAATACTTATAACAGCTGTTTTCAACATACTTGTCTGCTAGTTCTCTCACCTGTGCCACTTCTGGGTTTTTTTACACTGACTTTTCCTCAGGATAAGGGTCATGTTTTTCTGCATCTTTGCATACCTGGGTAAGTTTTGGTTAGATGGCAGACATCACAAATTTTACATTGGTCAATAGACTGCTTTCTATTCCTTTAACTACTGGGCCCTGTTCTGGAAAGCTGTTAAATTATTTGGAAAGTTTGATCCTTTAGTGGCTTGCATTTATGCTTTGTGAGGTGGGTTGAAACCAGCCATTAGTCTACAGTTAATTTAAGCTACTCACTGAGGCAACACTCTTCTGAAGATCCAGTGTGATTCTCCAAATGTTAGGCATTTCCATTCAAGCTGGTGGAAACAAATATTATCCCCAGCTTTGTGTAAGCTCCCAGGACTTTTCTGCCTGTTCATTTCGAATGGTTCTTTCTCCAGCCCACGGAGTTTCTTCACATATGTGTGCTGATTATGACTTAAAGGATTGTGGGGAAACCCTCTACACTCACTGTCCCCAACCCCTGGGCCATGGCCCAATACCAGTCCGTGGCCCATTAGGAAATGGGCTGCACATCACCGCCTGAGCTCCACACCACCCTCCCTCCCACAACCCACGACACACACCGCCCCTACCAGTCCGTGGAAAAATTGTCTTCCATGAAACCTGTCCCTGGTGCCAAAAAGGTTGAGGACTGCTCCTCTGCAGAACTTTGGAACACTCTCACTCTCTGAGTGCAGCTCAGCTCTATTTTCCAGTAATCTGACTCGCCAATTTGAGCCCTAAAATTTCCCAAACTCTAAACTCTGGCTCAATTCAGAGAGATGGCTGGGATCTGTTTGGGTTTCTCCTCCCTGCACTGCGGACAGGAAACTTTCTCCAGTTAGTAAGCTGGGGCAATCATAAGGCTCATTTCATCTGTTTCCTTTTTCTCAGGGAAAGCTGTCCAGAACTCCCCAACATCTAATAAAGTTCATTCATATATTTTGGTATTTTCTTAGATATTCAAAGTGGTATACACATTAGACACTGTTAAAGAAAAAGGGATTATTGGAATTGGCTATGAAAGATTTGGTCAGTATTTAGATGCATTATGTCACACGCATGCCATACTCACAACAGGATACGTTAATTTATACAATTTCAGAATAGATACAAATTTATGTGTGGCAACACTTCAGGGAGCATAAATCCATGTTCTTTTAGGACATTTAAGAGTTGTTTTACAGTGCTGATGATTTAAATATTTCAAAAGCATTTCATGATGTTCACATATAACAATTATGAGATCGTTATATATAAAAGCATGAGATTTTCTGATTATAGAATAAAATGTTAAATGTTTTTGGATTATAATTATTATAGTTAATTATTTCCCTAGGAATATGCTTTCCCAAATTTACTTAATTGGCTGGGTGGGAATTTATCATGGTATAAATTTTCTGATATCTAACATCACTGTGGTAGGCAAGATAATGGCATCCCAAAGATGTCCATGTCCTAATCTCCAGAACCTGGGAATGTGTTAAATTATGTGGCAAAGATGAATTAAGGTAGCAGATGAAGTTAAGGTTTCTAATCAGATGACTTTACAATAGGGAGATTATCATGGTTTATCTGGTGGTCCCAATATAATCACTGGGGTCCTTAAACATGGAAAAGGGAGGGAAAAGAACCAGTGTTAGAGTGATGAAAGAGCTGAATGGCCATTGTTGGCTTTCACAATGGAAGGAGGACACAAGCCACAGAATTTGGGCAGCTTATAGAAGCTGGGAGGGAAAGAAAACAGATTGTCCGCTAGAGCCTCCCAAAAGAAATGCAGCCTTGCCAACAGCTTGATTTAGCCCAGGAAGATACATTTTGGACTTCAGATCTCCAGCACTGCAAGATAATAACTTTGTGTTCTTTGAAGCCACCAAATTTTCAGTAGTTTGGTACAGCAGCTATAAAAAACTAACATAGTTATACTTTCAGATTCATTATGTTCATAGGTTTTCATGACATAATACAATTCCTAGTGTTCAAGATTTCATTTATTAAGGAAGTCTTTCCAAGACTCCTAAGTTATAAAAGTGTGATACATGAGCGAGCCTGGTGAATTTCCATCATGTCTTGCTTTCAGGGGTTTCTCTTTTCTATAAATTCTCCTATATTTTACTAAAAATGTTTTCCATATCCACTGTCTACAGTTGTTTTTCTCTATTTCTCTGACACATGATGTGTTACAATTTAGCACTGGAAATACCATCACAATCTTTCTTATATATTTCTGTAAGAATTCTTTTGATACCAATTATGATTTATCTCCAGGCAAAGGCTTCCCCATAGTACCTGTATTTCTACCCAATACGATTTCACTGATGCTTAATAAGTCTAAATGCTCACAGAAAATGTCCTCTACAACCACAGCATCCATAGAGTTTCTGCCCTAAATGAGCATATAATATATGCTGACACATAAAAGTTAGAGGATTCTTGCTAAAGACTTTTCCACTTTTCTAGTATCAGAGAATTTCTTCTCATACAATATCTGTAACATATAAGACATAATTTATTACCAAAGGTGTCACATTCACTTCATTTACAAGGCTTCGTCCCTGTTCAAATTCCTGTTAACTAATAAGGCTTGACTTCTTGGAAAAGATTGTTCCACAATCACTACGTTTCTAGCTCCTAAGAACTCACTGATGTTTAATAAAGGCTGGGTTCCTGAGGAAGGTGTTCCTGCAGGCATTGGGTTCATAGAGTTTTGTTTCTGTGTGAGGTCACTCATATATAAAGAGGTATGACTCCCTGATGAAGGTTTCTCCACCTTCTGTGAATTTACAGCTTTCTCTCTTGTATGAGTTTTCTTATGTTTAGTAAGTACTGATATGTAGGCAAAGGCTTTGCCACATTCACTGCATGAATATGGTCTCTCTCCAGTATGAGTTCGCTGATGCTGAATGAGCTTTGACTTGCTTCTAAAGGCTTTTTCACATTCACTACATTCATAAGGTTTCTCTCCTGTATGAATTCTCACACTGGAGAGTTTCTCTCCAGCACGAGATTGCCTATGTCTATTGAGCCGGCACTTCTGGCTGAAGGCTTTTCCACATTCATTACATCCATAGAGTTTCTCTCCTGTGTGAGTTCTTTGATGTACCATGAGCTGTGACTTTCTGGAGAAGGCTTTTCTACATTCATTACATTCATGGGGTTTCTCTCCTGTGTGAATTCTCTGATGTTTGGTCAGGTCTGACTTAAAATAGAAGGTACTTCCACATTCACTGCATCCATCAGGCTTCTCTCCCGTGTGAAGTCTCTGGTGCGCAAGGCGGTATGCCTTCTGAGAAAAGGCCTTCCCACACACACTGCATCCATAGGGTTTCTCTCCAGCATGAGTTAGCTGGCCCTAAGAGAGGCTGTTTAGGGTCAGTAAGGCTGCAAATGTCAAAGCTTCAGAATAAAAAGACATCATTTTGATTAATGGTGATACATTCTGTCTAGAAGAAAATGTGTTGAAATGTAATACGAGAAAACACTACCTCAGAAATTTCATTATAAGTAATGTATCTTCAGAAATAAGTAGACCAGTGTGCAAAGATAAATAAATGAAGGTGGCCCAATGTCCAAAAATAAGGGGACAAATATAACCCCACTCTACATTAATATTAGTACATTCGATCTTTTATCTAACTCTTCAAACTAATAAATATAGTTAGAATAACTGTATGCAGCTATAATAATATATTAGGCTGGGTGCGATGGCTCATGCCTGTAATCCTAGCACTCTGGGAGGCTAAGACCAGCGGATCGCTCAAGGTCAGGAGTTCAAAACCAGCCTGAGCAAGAGCGAGACTCCAGTCTCTACTAAAAATAGAAAGAAATTAATTGGCCAACTAAAAATACATATAGAAAAAATTAGCTGGGCATAGTGGGGCATGCCTGTGGTCCCAGCTACTAGGGAGGCTGAGACAGAAGGATCACTTGAGCCCAGGAGTTTGAGGTTGCTGTGAGCTAGGCTGACGCCATGGCACTGTAGCCTGGGCAACACACTGAGACTCTGTCTAAACAACAACAACAACAAAAAAAAATATATATATATATGTATTATATAAGATGACATAATGTTGTTTACTCAACCTAGCATCTATGTCAGTTTTAGGTCTGTTTTGATTGATAAGTTTTCCTCCTAATGTGTCTCACTTTTCTACTTTTATCCATGCCTGGTAATTTTTAGTTGGATGCTGGACTTTGTCAACTTATTTTGTGTGTAGGAGGCAGTTGGGTATGTTTGTATTTCTATATTCTTGAGGCTTATTCTAGAATACATTGTGTTACTTGAAAATAGTTTGATCCTTTTGGATTTTGCTTTTAATCTTTGGTAAGACCAGATTACTTATTGGCTAAGATTCAATCAATTTAACAGTATGTACTTGCCTACTTTATGCCAGGCAAGTTTCTAGACTTCTAGTATACAGGTGTGAGCAAGGCAGATGAGTTTCTTACCCTCCTGAAGACTAAAGTCTAATTTTTGCAGTCAATAACTCATACTGAAGACCTTAATCTCCGGAGCTTAAATTTAGCAAATTAAAATTATAGTTATAGTATTAGCTTTGTATTGAAAGTGATACTCATAGTAATATTTATACATTCCCAAGTTCTTTATGTATTCCACATCAATATCTTTAAGAAAACAGTTGAGATGTTCATTCCAAGTGTTTCTAATGGTTTTTGCATGGTGCATTGATTTTTTAAAAATCACACTGTACAATCACCCTGATTACAATTTCATGTAAACAGTTCAACCTACTGACAGGCCTAAGTTATTTGACCTCAAGTCCTTCCTCAGATCTCAGTTTTCCAGAATTAGACTTGATGTGAGCCTTAGGCTAACATCAGTTTTGTGCCAGCCCCTATTGACATTAGCCCTGACCACAGTTCAATAGTTACACCTTTCAGCCTACTCTGAAAATATTTTTTCAGACTGGACAAAGGCCTGTAGCTCTCCAGTTTACGACTTGATTCAGCTCTTCTAGAACCCCTTTGCCTACTCCTGATCCTATTCAATCTCTTCAGCAGTCTGTGGAGTATGAGATACCAGGATAAGTTGATTCTCCTTTGAAGATCTCTTCTTATATGGCACCAGGATGTGTAAGACTCTCTCAGAGTATATCTGGTAAGGGGAGGAAAGGGGAATAGATGCCAGGAAGAATGTTGGGGTTGTTCTATCAATGAAGCAAAGGGTAGAGTTAGGCAGGGAACTACCTCCATGGGGAAGAGTGCAGCTGGTTAGTTATCTAAGAGTTTAGAATTTCATATTCTCAGGGTTCTGTGAATCATCTAAATAACCAGGGAATAGGGGAGTTAGTAATACGCAAGTGAAGTCTGTGAAGTAGGGTCATTGTGCACTGGTTACCAACTTGTCTGAGGCTAGTGAGACAGATATCCACATACAAGTTCTGTGAAGCTGGCTTATTATATATAGGCATAAAGGGACAACAGAAGCCTAGCTTGCAGTGCAGTCCCCCAAGGCTCAGGAAAGCTGCTCAGTGCAGATGGATTCTTATCTTCATGAGTTCCACTTGCACTGCAGCTGAGGGACCCCAGGAAGCATCCCAACTTGGGTTTTATACCCCAGAGCTAGTAATATGTTAGACATCCTGTTTCTAGGTGGGTACTGGATCAGGGCCAGGACTGTTCCGTCCAGCTCCTCCCTCTCTTACTGTTGTGGCCCATTTTCAGGATGGAGGATGAACACAGAACACAAAAGAATGACACAGACACACAAAGACAGTACATGACTTGAGTGCCCAATGCACTGGTCAGTTTATTTTTATACTCTAAAAAATTAAAGTTAGTTCCCTGTATGTGACCACCCAGGCATTACAGCAATGGCCATAAATTCTGGAACATGTAGACTTAAGAACACAGAGGTACCCTGACTCGAGGTTTCCAGGTGGTTGCTCTAGGTGCCAGGCATAGATCACAGACTGAGATTAGCAAGGTTGGGCAAGGCAGCCACAGTTCCAATAGGCTGGGCCCCGGCAGCTGTGTCTGTCTTAGGTTGGTTCTCCCTGAGGAATCTTATATTGACTAACCAGCCATCTTATGGGGCTAAGCAGCAATCTTAGGAACAATGTGTTTATGGTGTGGCCTCCAGACCTCCACTGCCATGGGGCTAGGCAGCTCTTGCTTACTTGCAGAAACTCAGGTCCTTTTTCATGCCTCTAGGCAGCAACCTTGTCTGTCACAAGGACCCTGTCCCGAACACATTACTCTCAAACGCTCTGGGCAGAGCACGTACATTAACTAAATTTAATTCTTAAACCAGGAAAGTATAATGTCAGTCCCCAACCACTTACAATGTGGCAGCCCTATCACATTCTACAGTCATTCTTCAGAACTATAAGCAAGAAAGAAGGGAGAACTGTGTAGGGGACTGACATATATTTTCCTAGTTTAAGAATTAAAGTTAGTGAGTAATGTATGTGTTCTGCCCAGAGCATTTGAAAGGAATGTGTTCCGGACAGGCTCCCTGTGATAAACAAAGCTGTTGCCTAGAGGCATAACAAAGGACCTGAGTTGCAAGTAAGCAAGAGCTGCCCAGCCCCACGGCAATGGGAATCTGGAGGACACATGATAAACACCCCATAAGATGGCTGGTTAGTCAATGACGGGTAAGACCCCTCAAGGGAGGGGCGACCTAAGCCATGCACAGCCACTGGGGTTCAGCCTAAGATCTTAGGGGGTCACCCTAAGAGAAGCTGGGGATGAGAAATGCCCCGTGGCTTGCCTTGCCCATCCTTCCTAATCTTGGTCCCTGATCTATGCCTAGCACCTAGAGCAACCACCTTGAAATTCTGAGCCAGGCAATATCTGCTTCCTTAAGGCTACATATTCCAGAATTTATGGCCATTGCTGAAATGCCTGGGTGGTTATGTACAAGGAACTAACTTTAATTTTTTAGAGTATAAAAATAAAACTAACCTAGTGTATTATTACTCAAGTCAACCGTCTGTATGTGTGTCCGTGTTTTTGTGTTCTGCATTTGTGTTTTGTGTTCTGTGTTCATCCTCTGTCCTATAAACAGGCCACGACAGAACCGGGTTGACCCCAAGCTTCTCAGAAAACTACCTGCCACCTGACCCAGACACTCCTTAACAAAGCTAGTCCATTTTTGTGCCCACTGATCCCCCTGATCTGAAGGCAGAGGTTTGTCTCATGAGATTGATGTAACACCTTGACTGACACAATCTCAGTGCAACACTGTTGAGCCTTAGGCAGGTTCCATGTCACTAGGCCCAGGGCTACCACCTCAAGCTGGGTGATCAAGCCTGCCTGGAGTAGTGAGTGACCTAGCCAAGAAGTTGGTAATAAGGTCAAAGAAGGGTCCCTCAGGTGACCCCACTGTCTGCAGCCAGGTTGCCTGCTTCTCCATCTCCTCTCCTGTGTTTCAATAATGTCCAAGGTATTTATCCAGGTATAGCAAAAGGTGTTGACAACTGTTCATACTCCTTCCAGATGGGCTAAAAGAAGGTCTAGAGCCATTCTGTTGTCTAAAACAACCTTCCCAAGGGAGTTGAGGGATGCCTGCTGAGCTGCCAAGGCAGTGGCCATAGAGGAGGCAGTATCTACCATGGCCAGGGAGAGCTTTCTAATTTTTCATGAGCACTGATCCCCATGTGTAGTATCAAAAATCTTATAAAGGACATAAAGCCAGAGTCGGTCACATCTCCTGGCATGTCCCTAGTAACAGCTTTAGGCTGCTGTGCCTCTGCCAAGGGTAATATCCAGGAACAACTCTAACACAACCAGTGTGCAGGATCCCTGTATGGGACTGACATATATTTTCCTAGTTTAAGAATTAAATTTAGTGAGTAATGTATGTGTTCTGCCCAGAGTGTTTAAAAGCAATGTGCTCCGGACAAGGTCCTTGTGATAAACAAGGCTGTTGCCTATAGGCATAACAAAGGACCTAAGCTGCAAGTAAGCAAGAGCTACCCAGCCCCATGGCAATGGGGGTCTGGAGGCCACATGATAAACACATTGTTCCTGTGATTGCTGCTCAAAACCTGTAAATGGCTGGTTAGTTAATGATGGGTAAGACCCCTCAAGAAGAGGGGCGACCTAAGCCATGCACAGCCGCTGGGGGTCAGCCTAAGATCTTCAGGGTCACCCTAAGAGAAGCTAGGGATGAGAAATGCCCCCTGTGGCTTGCCTTGCCCATCCTTGCTAATCTCGGTCATGATCTATGCCTAGCGCCTAGAGCAACCACCTGGAAACTCTGAGCCAGGAGATATCTGCTTCCCTAAGGCTACGCATTTCGGAATGTATGGCCATTGCTGAAATGCCTGGGTGGGCACGTATAAGGAACTAACTTTGATTTTTGGGGTCTAAAAATAAAACGACTGGTGTGTTCTGCACTGTAGTCTTGTAACCATCTTTGTGTGTGTCTGTGTGTCTTTTTGTGTTCTGTGTTCATCTTCCATCCTGCAAACAGGCCACGACAATCCCACCATCCACCAGCTATCCAGGTATGACACAGATTAACCCATATTTGGATCACCCCAGATCAGTCCTCAGGTGTACACAGCACCCCTTCTCCATTTTATTGATCAGTGACCCATTCATGGGTATGGAGGCATTGGTGTTCACCAGCCAAGTCTCAGACCTGTTACATGAACTCAGTTTCTCCCGTGTGGTGTCATTCCTGAAGCCCCTACACAAATGGCTAGTGACAGTCCAGTTCTTGTTTTCATCATTGCCACTGGGACACTCCTCATGTAATCAAGGGTGTGGTGCACCAAAGTGCCAGTCCCCCAAAGTTGTGTTAGTGGTGCTCAGGATGATTTGCCAGTTAAGTTAAAACAGGGCAGCTCCGGCTCCTTCCCATGTGGCAAATGCCACATCCTCACTCTGTAAGCCAGGGCTCGGGTTCTGTTGGTGTGCACTGTGGTGTTAGGTATGCTGGTGTAGTTTACCACTGGCAGGACAAGAGGGTCACTATAGTTGGTGACAGAACAAGGGCTGGGATGGCAGCTCTAGCACTTCCTCAGGTTAACAAAATGGCCACAGCTTGGGAGAGCCTGAAGAAGCTGTTATGCTTCCAGGCCCCTGCTGCCACAGCCTTGTGGAAAAGCAAATTGACAGGTTAGTGCCCCTCCCCCAGTCCTCCTGGGGTCTCAGATGTCCCCTACCTGCTGAGTTGGTGTAGAGACCCAGTCTGTCTATGCCAGTTCCCATTGCTTGATCCAAGCCTTTTAGCCTCAGTTGTCCAGTCCAGGAAGGGAGGTCACGTCCTGTACAAACTGGACATGTCTGACAACATTGTACACCTAACTGAAGGGATCAGATGTCCCCAGCACTACTAGAGGGAACCTGGCACCCTGGTATTCCCTGATTCTGTCCCCCACCCCTTTTTGTTCAATGACTTTTGTAGGGTCTAGGCTTAGAAGGATGGATGGATGGAAAGAACGGGAGCAAGGTGAATGAAGGGTCAGGCGAAAATGCCTGACCGAAGCTGCTTGTTTGCAGAGTGCATAGGTCCGCTAAAACAGCTGACCTGTATGGAAAGGATGGATGGAAAGAACATGAGGGTCAGGTAAAAACGCCTGCCCAAAGCTGCTTGTTTGCTGAGTACAAGCTTCCTGTATGGAAGTTGTTTTAAAAAAAAAAAAAAAAAAATGTAACAAATGGCCCTGACTCTTTGCAGGTGTCCTTGGAAATAAATATGGGGAGGAACTTAGCAGGGAGGCCATTTTCTCCTTTAGAGTTTGGCCTCTCCCCTTCTCTTGAAACACTGTTTCGAGTAATCATTCATTCCTTCGCTACCAAGCTCAGGAGCGGAAAAATAGCCAAAACAGACTTTAGTTTTCCAAAATAATATTTAACTAAATTTAGAGTAAAAAAACTGTAACAGCTAATCACGTGATTTGGGGTGGGCACTTAAGATAACTGGAGGGCAGGGAAGCAAAAGAACCACAAAGGGGAAAAGTGAATATATTAATATGATAACTGAACCAATGATATGGGGCAGAGACTAGCTCCTTTAAATTATGGAATCATTAACACAGTAAATAGTAATATAGTTCAAGGTAGCCTGTCCAAAAATATATATCAGGCATATTATCTGATGTATGATGAGGTTAGAAACGGACAGAAAGTTATCAAACATTCCTCATTCCCACACGACTTCATTGCTTCAAGAATACTTTGATATTTTGCTACAGGCATTTCACAGTGTGTTCAGTATTTTATTTCTATATAATTTCACCTGTTAATGAATTTCAGAGGCAGCATATGCCACTGAAAACCCTGCCACATTCACTGCCTTCCAGAATTTTCTCTCTACTATGTACCAATGCCTCTTGAGGGCAAGGGCTTTCTCATCCATTATATTTCTACCTGCTATGAGCTATTAGCCCATGGTGCCCACTGATGACAGGTCCATCTACCATAAAAAGGCTTTTCTAGTTTCTTCATTCACAGAATTTCAAAGTTCACACCAAAGCAAATAATCAGCTAGACGTTTTTGCTAATGTCTTTTCCATCTTGAATGTAGTTTTTTCCTATGTGTTTGTGACATAAAAGATATAATTGACTACTGGCGGCACGACCATATTCACTGCATTTGTAAGGTTTCTCTCCTGTGCAAATCCTTGATTATCTCCTGAGAATGCACATCTGGCAACTGGCTGTCCTAATAGGAGTATGTTCCTATTTTCTAGGAGCCCACTGATGTTTAATGAGGTCTGAGGGGCCACAGAAGGTATCTGCACAACCACCATATTAGCAGGGCTTTCCCGCTGCATGAGTTTACTAGTACCTAACAAGCTACGACTCATTGTGAAAGGACTGTCTACTTTCACTGAATCTCCACATTTCTCCCTTGTGTGTATTCTTTTATGTTTAACAAGGTAAGACATGCAACCATAAGCTTTTTCACACTCATCACATCCATAGGGCCTCTCTCCTGTGTGAGTTCTATAATGTATAGTGAGCACTGTCTTTGTAAAGAAAGCTTTCCCACAGTCACTGCATTTATACGGTTTCTCTCCTGAGTGAATTCTTTGATGGCTAATGAGTCCTGACTTCCGTGAACAGGGCGTCCACATTCAGTACATACAAAGGGAGTCCTTCCTGTATGGCGTCTCTGATGTGCTACGAGGCTGGCCTTCTGGTTGAAGGCCTTACCACATTTAGTGCATCCATAGGGTTCTCTCCAGTGAGTCCGTTGGTGTATAATAGATTGCCCTTCTGAATGAAGGCTTTTCCGCATTCACTGCATTTATAGGGTTTCTCTCCTGAGTGAATTCTTTGATGGCTAATGAGTCCTGACTTCTGTGAACAGGGCTGTCCACATTCAGTACATACAAAGGGAGTCCTTCCTGTATGGCGTCTCTGATGTGCTACGAGGCTGGCCTTCTGGCTGAAGGCCTTACCACATTCAGTGCATCCATAGGGTTTCTCTCCAGTGTGAGTTTGTTGGTGTATAATAAGATTGCCCTTCTGAATGAAGGCTTTTCCGCATTCACTGCATATATAGGATTTCTCTCCTGTATGAGTCTTCAGATGTACAATAAGCTGTGATTTTCTGGAGAATTCTTTCCCACATTCACTGCATTGATGAGACTTACTTCCTGTGTGTGTCATCTTATGTCCAGTGAGCTGAGACTTCTTGAGGAAAGCTTTCCCACATTCAGTACATTCATGGGCTTTCTCTACATTGTGTGTGTTGCTGATGTTTAAGGAATTGTGACTTAGTGCTGATGGGTTTTCTACTGTCACGGAATTCAATTTTAGTATAAGTGCATTCATGATTGTCATGGAAAATGGCTCTCTGGTCTCCATTAAACTCAGCAGGCTCTTTCATGTTGTATCTTCTGCTCTGGTTGCTTAAACCTAAATAAGACTTTAAAGTGCTTCTATGTTCATAGCATTGTTCCATCCTCTTCAGCATTTTTTGGTTTTCCAAGTGCCGCTGCAGATGATCATCAGCTTTCTTGATTTCTAGGAAAGAAAAAACAATGAATGCTTCTTGCTTCAAAAATACCTTGGTGTTTGCCAGCTCCTTAGTGGAAACTGTAATATCTACATGAAATAAATTACAAGTATAAACGTTCCCTATCTCTTTTTTGTAACTTTAAAAACTTTTTTTATTGAAATTAAATATACAAAAGACAAAATTTGCCATTTAAGCATTTTTAAATGTACAGATATGTGGCATTAAGTACATTCACAGAGTTGTGCAACAATTACCACTATCTAACTCCAGAATGGTTTCCCCTTCCCCAAATGAAAAACTCTGTATGCACTGAATACTAACTCCTTATCTCTCAGACATAGCTAAAAACACAGTAATATAAAAAACCAACACACCAAAAGTAACAGCTATCACTGTAAAACAGGATTAGATAATTCACAAGGAATAAATACAGATTTGGCTGCTTTCCTTCTTTTCTTTTTTTTAATCTTCCCCTCTAAATCTACCTGTCCTACCAAAAAATTAAATAAAGATTGCATTATTATCCTTTATTCTTGAATTGGCTCCTTCTGCTCAGACTATAAACTTATGTTTTCTCAGTCTAAAAATTCTTTCCACTGAAGCTAAGCTAATTTTATCTCTATCCTTGCCTTCATTTTACATACAGCCTTCTGAAAAAAGTTATTGATTCTGCTGACAGTTCTGATCTCATTCCTTTAGTAATCTTTAGCTAGATATACCCAAGTCTCACATAAATCTCAACTAAATTCACCATACTCTTTATACATTAAACCTTGTTTTTCTCTCACTACTCTTCACTAAGGCAGATTTCTTCCCCTTTTGTCTTTGCCTTGTATTTACCAAGAAAAGTCACCATGACTGTTTCTTCCACCTGGGGCATTAACGACCTCACCACTTTCCTGAAATAACATCCTCAGTTTCAGAAGATAAACTCCTATTTATCAAATCCAATGTTTGGATAGTCATCCCCTCTATAATTGGACCTCTCTCTTCTTGAAATACGTATCTCTTTGAGTTCTTAAAACCATATATTCCTGGTTGCCTTTATGTTGCCTTTTCTTTGTTTCTGTCTGTATCCTAAAAGTCTAAGATTTGGAAGTTTAGCCATAAGCCACTTTCACATTCTAAATGCCACCTTTGGTAATTCTTTTTTTTTTTTTCATTTTTTTTATTTCAGCATATTATGGGGGTACAAATGTTTAAGTTACATTATGTTGCCTTGCCCCCCTCCTTGACTGCTTTCTAAATAGGCCCTTGGAAACAGGAAAATACAAGGAAGTCCCTATTAGCACTGGACTACAGAGGTAGGATGGACACATTTTCATTATTTGTTCAACAATGTTTTGAAATGGCTACCACCACATACCAGGCATAGTGCTGGTGTTGGGAAAACACAAAAATATTCTTTATTTTCAGTGAAGTCATTATTTTTGGTGGAAAAAAAGGAAATAATAAATAAGCAAGAAAAGGAATAAACTAGGCAGTTAAAATGTGACAGTTGTTTCAGGAAGCAAAGGAAATGATGAGAAGTGGATAAAATCAGGATTTATACAGAAAGAAAGACAACAAGATTCACTAATGGATTTGAGGTGGAGACAGATAACAAAAGAGGGAATCAAAGGGTGCTCCTACATATTTAACTTGAGTCCTAGACAGATGGGTAGTGTCTTTTAACAAGATGAGGAGTTTACTAAGGTTCACAATGTGAGGGAAATCAAATGTGCATTTTGAAGCATATTAACTTTGAGATAATTATTAAATATCCAAGTGCAGATAAGGAAAACCCAGTCAGATATATAAAACAAAAAGGTTTTCACTAGATATAGCAATGTGGAAATCATCAATATGTAAATATTATTTCAGGTCAGAGTATTGGATGAGAGAATGTGAAGACTGAAAGATGAAAGCACAAGACCAAGGCTTTAGTCTTTCCAACTAAAGAGCTTTGGGATTCACAGAGCCCACTGAGGAGACCCAAACACTAATAATCCTGAGTAGGGAAACAGCAGACAGAGGGATTAGAATAAATATCTCAAAGAGGCAGATCAAAATATTGGATGCACAGCTTCTGACCTCAGGGTAACTCTGTTAGTCTCCTAGGTGCTCATCCTGTTGCTGTAATAGGCCTTTCTTCTTTCTGTAGACAACCACCAAACTAACTTTCCTAAAGCACCAATCTCACACTTTCAAGAAAACTGCAGTCAAAACCCTAACCCTGTATCTATCTGACTATGATACCATGAACTAAAATAAAATCCTAAGCCCCCTGATGACTGAATACACCCTCTTTTGGTCAAGGGAACCTCAGAGAAACTCTAAAACTGAGTTCCCAGCCATAACGGGACAGGAGGTCGGACACGCATCATTATATGCCCTCCCTACCAACAGCCATTTAGTGCTTTCCTAAGCACTAAACAGAAACCAATCTCAGGATCCAGATCAGCATTCCTTCCTGAAAAAGACCACCAAACATGAAGTGAGTTTAACCAGTCTATGGAGCGCGCACAGAAAGGGTTTTCATGTCCTTGTTTCAACCTTTTTGAGGGCAGCCATCTCTGAACATGGGTCCCGTAACAGATGCATGTTTCTCTTTTCATAAATGTTCATAAAACTTTCCATAGCTTGTTAAATATATTTGGCCATCCCACTCGGTATAAACTCCTGTTCCCATTGTCCCTGCTGTGAAGCACTTGTTTCTGGCTCACGGCTGGGGGATGGGCTTTCCAGGCTGTTGGAGTGGCCACCCACCATAGGCTGTAACCCTTTATGAGAAATACAGCTCTCCTTTCCAAATTATGAACTTCCTTATTTCTTTGGTTAACAAACATTCTCATATGTTCCAACAGAAAGAGGGACCCGACATACCTATGGTCTTTCACAACATGCTAGTAAAACACACAGTCCTCTCCACACAGATCTACTGCTGAAACACGTAGGAGAACTGTCACCTTCTTCATCATGCCGTACCTGCACAGATGTTATATTGGAATTTTTTTCCATTTCGTTGTGCCTGATGTACTAATCCCTCACCTTGCCACCAGAAGTATCTTCTTCCTGAACTCTACATTTATGTCTCTATTGACATTAGTGAAGTGGCCCTCAAACACCACTTCCTCCTTTGGAATTATAAGTCCTCCTTTGGAAGACTTATAGCAGCTTTACCTTTAGCTTTTCTCAGAGTGTCTGGCTATACCTCACTATTGATACAATGCTGCCACCCAGTGAAAGGTAAGCTCGATCTACAGCTAGAAAAATACAAGACCTGGTCAGATACAGTGGCTCACACTTGTAATCCCAGTACTTCGGGAGACTGCAGTGGGAGTATTGCTTGAAGCCAGGAGTTCCAGACCAGCCTGGGCAATATAGCAAGACCCCATCTTGACAGAAAGTAAAAAGTTAGCCAGGTGTGGTGGCACGTGCCTATAGTCCCAGCGACTTGGGAGGATGAGGTGGGAAGATCACTTAAATCCAGTTCAAGGCTGCAGTGAGCTATGAATGTACCACTGTACTCCAGCCTAGGTGACAGAGTAGGACTCTGTCTCAAAGGAAAAAAAGGAAAGAAAAAAAAAAGAATACAAAACCTAACCTTCATCTCCCTGTATTACTAACATAAAATTCACAGCAGAAAGCAGGACAATAAAAGCTCACTTTACCATGATGCATCATCCTCCTTATATAAGTTTCCACTTTGCATTTCCCACAAATATCTTCTAACATTGGCCTCCATGTTGCCAGTTTCAGGCTAATTTTTTGATGGTCCCCATATGGCCTTGCACACTGCCAGTTCCACACGTTCTTGCCTGTTTCTTCATCATCTTAATTCAAAACCTACCTATATCTCTGTGTAATATACCTTATAATGCTATCATTCCTCATCCTGTCTATACCACTCACTGTAGGCTACATTTCTTCTAAATTTCTACAATTCTCCCTATATTTACTATTCACTTTATCTTTGTACAACCTTGAATTATGGCAAAAATATTTCACATGTTCAAAAGCTTTATTTGTACATATTACATTAAGATTTGCCCTATCTTTGCTAATAAAATCTTTGTTCCAAAAAGGTATCTTTGTTTCTCACTAAATTCAGTCTCTTCTACATACTATGGCTATAGTTCATCAACTAGAGTCACAACAGTGCCCCTAGAGAGCTTTGTATAACAACACTCCCAGGCCTTCAGCCCAATTCTAAGAAAACCAGATTTGGAGAGGAAGAGGCCTTGATACAGGTAGTACTATGAAAACATCAATAAAAATCTTGCAGTTAAAAAAATGCTTAATAGATAGATGGAAAAGTATGATCTCTTTCTAGTCTAGCTAATCTCCCTTGATTAAAAAATGAGTGAATGATCACGATGTATTTCAGTCTTACATGATGAAGAATGACAACCAGGCCCTTGACTCCAGAGTAGCAAAGAAGCCTCAAGTACCACCAAATCATACTGACCAATATCTACAGGAGTAGCTAGTGTGGTTGGGGCATGTAGTAGAATGGGACTTTAGAGATGGAAGATATTATTACATTGTGGTGTAGTAGAAACCATTTCATGAAAAGAGAATTCAAAGTGAAAAAATATATATATTGTCTGAATGGGAAGAACAAACCAAAGTCACAATCTATCCCTCAGTTCTTCTCTCACTTGATGAATCATCAACTCTAAAAAATGTTTATGGCCCAATCTTTCATGAAATACATGCTCACTACCTGTACTTTCCCAACCAGATTTAGTACACACTCATCTGTCGAATTTCTAATTGTCCAAGGCTCTTATTTTCTTTATCTGGACTCACTCCCTACATCTCATCTGGTCCAAATTTCTGTCTCCACATTATCCCTGACCAGTCTGGGTGCATCCAACCATGGCCCTGAGCTCCACTTGGATGCTCACAAGCACATCAGTAAAGCAAGCATAAGGTTTAATGATTTTGTTTAGGATAGGAACTGAGAATGAGAAACTTTATAAAGTTCATTCCTAATTAAACAAAGAACAAGAATAGCAGAGACCTTAAATACAGGACTCTGGAGGGCAGAGAATATTCAAGGTAATGCCAGGAGGGCCAGAATTTAGGATGTACAGAAGTACAAGAGAATCTTAATTTTAAAAAGGATGATGGGAAGGGGTTTTCCTAGAGTGAAAGATATTCTTCCTCCAGAGGGAAGATAATTCTAGCTCCTCATATAAAAAGTGTAAAAGACAGGAGAGTTACCATGGAGACAAGTAAAATATACTGACATATAGATAAGACAATGTGAAGGATATGTCAACTTGGGAGGAGTCCCCATGGAGAACAAAAACTTAATAGTTTTTTTTTTTTTCTGAGACAGGGTCTCCCTCTGTCACGTTGGCTAGAGTGGCATCATCATAGCTCACAGCAACCTCAAACTCCTGGGTTCAAGCAATCCTCCTGCCTCTCAACCTCCCAAGTAGTTGGCACTACAGGAGCATGCCACTATACTTTACTAATTTTTAATTATTTTGTACAGACAGGGCCTTGCTATGTTACTCAGGCTAGTCTCAAACTCCCAGCCTCAAGCAATCCTCCTGCCTCAGCCCCCCAAAATGCCAGGATTATAAGCATGAGCCACTGTGCCCGGCTGAACTTAACATATTTGCATGAAGTAGGTTTTAAGGCCTATGAGACAGAACAGAGGATGAAAACAGAACTTTTGGAGCAGCTCAGAGTGGGAAAAAGAAAAGTTAAGGAAGCAGATAAATGCACATTCAGAGGCCAGACTACCATGGGGACATATCCACAGTGGGGCTGGGTGTTATAAAGGGAAATAAGTATTTCCCAAGGGGGCAGGGAGGTATATTAGTCCAGAGAAAGTGATGAATTCAAAGTTTTCTCTTAGAAGAAAGGTATGGAAGGAGGAATCTCATAGCAAAGAGGATAAAAAGAACAATGACATTGTGATATAATGTCCCTGATTCAGAGCACCCAAAAACCTTGTAGACAGGGGAGCTAAGAGAATCTTTTGTTTTAACATTTGGTCTTTGACCCCAGTTCCTAACATAGAGCTCCTAAATCCCTTGGAATTTCCTGGTGATAGGAGCATCTTTTGTGCTAATGAGGTGACTCTGGGCTCCTGGACAGGTTGAGGAGGAGGGCTGGTTGCCAGGGGAACCAATGACTTTCATAGTAGACACAGGAGAGAGACGTGAGAGAGGCCACCAGGTGACTGGGCCTATCTGCCAAAGCCAATTATGCCAGCTCCAGGGACACACGAATTCCTCTATTTCCAGGCTGTCCAGCACCCGTATTGGGACGGGACCTCCTATACAAATTAGGGGTCCAGATCACCTTTAGTCCCAGAAGTACCACAGATCTGTCAACAAAAGTCCCACGGTCTGACTCTAGAAAAACGGGAGAGGTGCTGCCACAGCCGCCGGGCATGTGGCTGCAAAGCGCACAGGCGCAGCCACCGACCAAATCCTTACAACTACAGCCACGTTCCAGACACCGACAGAAGAAGACAGCTGGGGCAAGAGTGGGCACATATGATCTGTTCCATCCGAAGACCAATCACCCATCGGCAGCTGTGGGAGTTCCTGGGAGCAATAGGACTCTGTCAAATATGGATAAGAGGTTTCGCACTAATGGCCAAACCCCTCTATGAGACCCTGCAGGGACCTGAGATGCAGGAGCCAAATGGGGATCCGAGCAGGAAGAAGCCTTCCAAAACCTCAAGAATCAGCTACACCGATCCCCAGCCCTAGAGCTGCCGGATCACACCAAGGACTTTAACTTGTGTGTTATCGAATATGACCGTGTGGCTGTGGGCCCTGGCGCAGGCTGTGGGACCTTGGCAAAGACCGGCGGCTTACTTGTCCAAGCAACTCGATGTGGTGGCCTCGAGCTGGCCCTCCTGTTTGAGGGCAGTGGCAGCAACAGTCCTCCTTCTCAGGGAAGCTGAAGGGTTCACAGTGGGAGGACACACTCCAGTTTACATCCCCCTCACGGTCATTCGACTCATCAATTGGATGGATTGCCTCTGGCTCTCCAGAAGCCAACTGGCCCAATATCAAGATGCCTGTTAAGCCCACCTAGACAGGCCCCACACTATAGTCTTGACCACGCCCACCGCTGTTAAAGTCACAAAAATAACTCCTTGGATCCACTGCACCCAAGTAAAAAGGACATCAACTGAGGAGGACCAAGGCACCCTAGACAACAGTGCAAGACCTACCAAGGATCCGCCTCCGACGTGACAACCGCTGAGCTGCCACACCCGAGGTCCTCCAGACTAAATGACCAGACTGATTATCTAAGTCCCTCTTGGCTTATCAATACTGTTGGCTGTTACTGGGCATTCAACTTTACTCTATAGCCCCCCAGGACTGGGGGATGGGTAAAAAGATATGTTTTGTCATATCATTCTGGGTTATAGTGGCTTTCTATTTCTGCTCTGGATATGCCTATAAACAATCAAAAGGACCCAGAAGGCCACAGCCCGCCTCATGGCCCACCAGGCATGCTGTCCACTCAGATTAGGTGATGCCCACTAATGCAGCAGCAGTAGCCACAGCGCATTTAGGAGCATCCAGAGGGGGGAATGTAAGGGAAAAATTCTGCACTCCCCTCCTAATAATATGATTAAGTAACTGTAATAAAAAGCACTTTACTACACCTCAGCCTGATGCAAACTTTGTAACTTCTATCTTATAAAAGCAGAACTGCCAGATAGCATGGATAAGCACCTTTTGTAGCCCCTACCTCACACAAGCCTTGTAACCATTTTTTTCTTCTGTAACCACCAACTTCCTCATAACATAACATATAAAAAACAGCATATTATTAACCCCATTTGCTCAGAATTTGGAGGCGAGGCTCCTCTGAGCCCTCATGTAATAAAAAAGCCTGTTTTGCTGTACTCATGTGTGGCTCTCGGTTTGGGGCCCCAGAACCTCGTCCAGGAGTGTATAATAAAGCCACGTGGTTTGGCCCCCACTCTCTCTCTCTGTCGTTTTCTTTCCGCCGTCGCCGAAAACCTTACACTAGGGGCCCCACGAGACCTGTAAACTAGTCCTTGAAGAAGGGACCGGACTGGAAGGACTGCGGGGGGAGGTGACGTTCACAGGTCTGTCCCAGCAGCCAAGGTCTGAGCCCCAGCCTGACACCAGCCAGGGCCCACACCTACAGACTCCAGGTGCTACAAGCCTGAGCCGCACACGGCGGGCCTTCCCCAGACGCTCACACACCTCCCTCGTCAACCCTGAAACCGAGCCCGACTCCTTCCCGCGGCCATCCCCGGGCTTCGTCACCGAGCCCCGCGTCGGCTCCAAACGCCGCCCTTTTAGGCAGACACCACGTCCCCTGGAGTTCTGGATGACCGAGCCCCGCCGGCAGGGCCCCGCAGAGACCCCGGACTCGGACGCCGGGACTCCGGTCGCCGAACTCGACGACCAGCTTTAACGGCCCGGCCCGCGCCGGCGGCAAAGGCACCCGACTGCAGCCCGCCGTCCGGACCGCCAGCTCTCCCGCGGACGCCCGCGGGTCCTCTCTGCCTCTTCAGCAACTCACGGACCATTCCCTCCCACACACTCACCCGACCTTCTCCCGACCAACCGCGACTTCCTCGCGGCTACAGCGAAACTCCGCGAATTCTTCCGTTTCCGGCTCTCCAGCCCGGCCCCGGCCCGGCCTACGGCGGCCGACGAGGGCAGGGGGCGTGTCTGCTCCGCGGCGCCGTGGGGCTGGGCGGCGCCTTGGGGGCCAACAAGTCCGCGCGCGCGGCGCCCCCTGGCGGCGGCCGTATACAAAAGGGAAACGACTGTGAGTCACTGACCTGAATGACAACAAAAACCTGAGGCACCATACAATGTTGTTTACCTGGACAAACAGAAATTCATGAATTGGGAAGCGTCAGAACAAAAGAAGTTTACCGCTCCTGTGCTTAACATAGTATAGGAAAATACTGATAGGGTAAATAAGGAAGAAAAAACAAAGAAATTATTTGGTTACAGTTGTGAAATTGACTTCTTCCATTTGTCTTGTCGGGAAGTCCCTGATGACATAGTTGTATGTTAGTTGGCTACTTTTGATTGGCTGACATTAGGTTTTGTTTTTCCCTAACACAAGCATCTGCCAGAAATGACAAGAGTGTTGCTTGTGTTTGCAGTTTAAGCAAAGTTAAGGCTATTTTTAAGGCCTCACTGGTTTTGTTTGCTCAGGAATTTCTCAAGCCTTGTCTCCCTTTTAATTTTACTTTCACACTGGAGACAGTGAAAGACGCTGAAGTGTCACCTCTCCTGACACCTCAAGCCCCACGCTGCAAGGTTGGCAGGATCGCCCACAATGCTGCACAACCGCACAGGTTTCCCAAGGCTCGAGCTCACCCAAGGCGAACACGGCAACAGCCAGGTCCACCTCAGCGGGCCGGGAGAGACCGACGCGCCCTTTGTCTAGGGACTGACAAGAAAATGTTAGTGGGGGCCCAATGAACGTGGCCATTGTAGAAAGCACCTTTGACGTAAGAAACACTATCTTAGGAAAAAACTCTTACATTTTAAATGGCATCGTGCCCAGGGGCCCAGATGTTCACCTGACAGAGACTACACCTAACCAGACAAGGGTGCAAGCCCTCGCCAGAGGACTCAGGGACTTCACAAAGAGAAAGATTCCACCAGTTTGACATAGCTGTCTCAATAGACACCATCTTACTGTCGCTCCTGATCAGCACGGGGCATCTGCTGCCAAAGGCTCCGCTCAAATCAGGGACTCTTCCTAGCCTCAATCAAGGACTCTTTATGTAAGACATTAATGACCGTCTGGATCAGCCCAAGACACTCTCTTTGTCCACCTCGCTCTTCTTAGACTGGTTTGTTAACTCATTTTCCTATCCCCTTTTCTCTTGGTGGTATATGTCACTTTCTTTGATGTGAAAATTGATATATAACATTTATATATTAGCTAAGTATACTAGCATGTATGGTTTATAGTATTCACTGACTTGTGAATCGACTTGAGCCTGCGTGCCCAAGGCTCTGGGCAGTCCTAGGACATTACTAAGGAGAACTGCCTTCTTGGGACCGCCCCATAGCTCGTGGCTTTTATGATAAATATGCGTCAATAAAACTCCCACCTGTGGAAAGACACAAACGCATGTGGGTCTGGTTGATGTCTGGCTGTGCGTTGTGAACATCTTAAAGGAAGTTCAAGTGTCCCCACGCGGAGAACACGCCCCGAGAAGGAGAAAACAACGTGGCCGCTAACCTTGGGTGACCAAGGCTCGAGGCAGGCACCTCCCTGCATCTCAGAGGTGGGTGCGGCGAGGCTTCGAAGGTGTGAGGGAGGAGCAGTCGCTTTTTGCTTCAGATCTGTCTGGAAAACACCAAGTGTAAAAACTTGGAACTGTGGCCTATGAAACAGCAGGCTGCAAACGCCGCTACCATGCCGTCCTAGGATAACGACACGGCGCAGAGGGTTTCCGGAGCCATCGCGCACAACCGTTCTTTCTTTCTGGGACTAAGTCATGGGGCTGCGGTGCCTCCGCCTGCGACCCAACGTGCTGGACGGAAGAGGGCGATTCGTGTCAGTTGGTCCCTTCCTTGCGTCTGCCCTCTCTGTCCCCGTCTGCCCTCTCTGTCCCCGTCTGCCCTCTCTGTCCCCGTCTGCCCTCTCTGTCCCCGTCTGCCCTCTCTGTCCCCGTCTCCCCTCTCTTTCCCGTCTGCCCTTCATCCCCGTCTGCCCCTTGTCCCGTCTGCCCTCTGTTCCGTCTGCTCTCTGTCCCGTCTGCCCGCTGTCCCTGTCTCTCTCTGTCCCCATTGCCCCTCTGTCCCGTCTGCCTCTGATTCCCGTCTGCCCTCTGTCCGGTCTCTGCCCCCTTGTCCCGTCTGCTCATGTTTTTGTCGGCTGGCGGTGCCCGTGCCGTGCGCCGGCCGGTGGGTTCTGGCCGGGGTCGTGCCCTCGTCCCCGTCTGCTCTCTGTCCGTCGCTCTCTGTCCTTCTGCCCTCTCGTCCGTCTGCCCCTCTGTCCCTTCGCCTCTCGTGTCCTTGCCGCCCTCTTCCCGTCTGCCCGCTCTGTCCGTCTGCCCTCTTCCGTCTGCCTCTCTGTCTCTGCCCTCTGTCCCCGTCTGCTCTTGTCCGTCTGCCTCTCTGTCCCTTTGCCTCTCTGCCCCGTCTGCTCTCTGTCCCGTTGCCCTCTGTCTGCCCCTTGCCCGTCGCCCTCGTGTCCCTTACTGCCTCTCTGCCGTCTGCCCCTTGTCCCCGCTGCCCTTCTGTCCCGTCTGCCCCCTCTGTCCCCGTCTGCCCCTCTGTCCCCGTCTGCCCCCTCTCTCCCCGTCTGCCCCCTCTGTCCCCGTCTGCCTCTCTGTCCCCGTCTGCCTCTTGTCCCTTCTGCCCCCTCTGTCCCCGTCTGCCCCCTCTGTCCCTTCGCTCTCTGTCCCCTTCTGCCCCCTCTGCCCGTCTGCCCGCCTCTGTCCCGTCTTCCCCTCTGTCGTTCCCTCCTGTCCCCGTCTGCCCCTTTCCCGTCTGCCCTCTCTGCCCGTTGCCCCCTCTGTCGCTGCCTCTCTGTCTCTGCCCTCTCTGTCCTTCTGCCCCTCTGTCCCGCTGGCCCTCTCTGTCCCGTACGCCTCTGTCCCAGTCTGCCTCTCTGTCCCTCTGCCTCTCTGTCCCGTCTGCCCTTTCCCCTTCTGCCTCTCTGTCCCGTTGCCCTCTGTCCCGTTCTGGCCTCCTTCCGTCTGCCTTTTCCGTCTGCCCCCTCTGTCCGTTGCCCTCTGTCCCTTTGCCTCTCTGTCCCCTTCTGCCCCTCTTCCCTTCTGCCCTCTCAGTCCGTCTGCCCCTCTTCCCTTCTGCTCTCTGTCCCGTCTGCCCCTCTGTCCCCTTTGCCTTCTGTCCCGTCTGCCCTCTTCGTCTGCCTCTCGTTCCCCGTTCTGCCTTCTGTCCCGGTATGTCCTCTCTGTCCGTTGCCTCCTGTCCCGTCTGCCCTCTCTGTTCCGGCTACCAGTGGGCCGTGGGCTGCGCAATGGCCAACGAGCTATATACACAAGCGTTCAACTGGTTCCAAGGCCCGCGCAGCGCGCCCCAAACAAGCGGCCGGCCGCCTACTGCAAACGGGAGGCGGCCGGCGCGGGCGGGGCGGGCGGGGGGTGGAGGGCGAGCCGCTCTTCTCCTCTCCCTTCGCCGCCCTTGAGTCCAGGCGCGGACGTGGCCGCCTCTCCGTGTGGAGCGGCGCTGCTCCGCCGGTCCGGCTGCCCGCCTGCAGTGTTCTGCGGAGAGCAGGAATTCCAGGGCCTCGACCTGGCGGGCGCAGGGGGTCGCCACCGTGAGGTCTCCGTGAGGTCTCAGACCCTACCGGCGCTGTCGACGGGGGAAAGACAGCCCCTGCCTCCGTCCCCCGTTTCCAGAGGAGGCGTGGAACTGAAAAAAATCTAGGTGTGGTATTAGCGTGTTGCAAAAAGAGAAAAGTACGAAGACCCACGGTTGATTGAATCGCGCAGTTGGAACCTCTGCTGAGCCTCCCCACCCAGCCTCCATCCTCCTTCAGCGTGGGTGGGATGAGTTACACCCCAAGGCAGGCAGTGCTCCAGGGCAGTGTGGCATCCAATCTAGAACCTTCCAGAGCCAGCCCCCACCACCGCGAGCTCCGACAGAGAGGGTCGGGTGATGCATTCGTCTGTTGGATCAAAGTACTGTACTTGTAACTGCCAGTCAACGTTGCAAGAACTCGACTGCAAACTTCAGCAGTTGGAACTCAAAACCGACAATAACCCCCATTTCCCATATATGCTTCCAGGGGAACTGCTATCTCGCTCTAGGAGAATAAAATGAAAAAGTGCCCAGAGACTGTTGACCCTCTCTTTGTGAGACAGAAGCCCAGAGTGTTAGAAACTGAGAAGGCAGGGGGCCTGCGACCAGCGTGGTCTCCAAGAGCAGCTGGCGACCAGCGAGGAAGCCGGCCTGTGTTCTTGACTCGCTTTCCTCAGATCTGGAAGGGCGACTTGCCGAAGGCTTTGATGTGTTTATTCCTAAACCTCAGCTGGACTCATCGAACTTCACACGCTCAGGAAGTCTCGTGTTTACAAAACTGGTGTGTATTTTTTGAAGACAAGATTTTGGCTAATTCAGCCATGGGAGGAAGAAAAGAAGGTTTGATGACAGCTGGGAAGGACCACTACGCCAGACCATTGCGGGTGCAAGAAAAGGCTGGTTTGCGCGTCATTTCATTTTATGGGTTTTCGTTGAGCTTTGCCTTCATTCCATAAAGATGCAGCTGAAATCAGAGTAAACTTTAGAGGCTATTAATCATTTCATTTGCAATTTAATTTATCCTGTTAAGTGACTCTGTAACTCATCACCCCAAAACACCACTAGAGTTTGGTATTTCAAGGTGATGTTACTTTGTTAAAATAATAACTTAAGAGCCAGTATGATCTGCTGCAGAACCAAAAAGAAGTTTTTTTCCTTATTTGACTTTTAAAGGAAAGTATTTTTTCTGCTCAGTAATTTCTGAGAATTATCAAAATATGATTTCAACTTATCAAATTATCAAAATATGCTTTCAACTTAATTTTTTAGTTGTAAATAAGAATAAAGCTAGGTTGCTTTTTATGAAAATAAAACAGCTCTCTCAAAAAAAATATCTATCCCATCCAATAGAGTGCTATAAATTTTACAAAAAGATAAAGTTAATAAATAAAATCTGAGAATTGGCCAGTCCACAAATTGGACTGCTTCCATTTAAAAATAAAGTTTGTCTTTTCATAAATACTGGCTCTTCTGTCAATGTTTACCTATTAATTTTAATTCTGTTGTCATTTTCTTATTGATTTGTAAATTATTTATATATTCTAGGTTTTTATCCATTTTCAGTTGTGTTGCAAATATATTCTTCCAGTCTGCAGTTTATATTTTCACTTTGTTTTTGTTGTCTATGATACAGAATTATCTAATTTTCATGTAACTGAAATTGAACAATATTTCCCATTATAGTTTGTGCTAATCTTTTTTTTTTTTTTTTTGGAGACAGAGTCTCGCTTGTTGCCCAGGCTAGAGTAAGTGCCGTGGCGTCAGCCTAGCTCACAGCAACCTCAACTCCTGGGCTCAAGCAATCCTTCTGCCTCAGCCTCCGAGTTAGCTGGGACTATAGGCATGCACACCATGCCCAGCTAATTTTATATATATATATATATATATATATATATATATATATATTTATATATTAGTTGGCATTAATTTCTTTCTATTTATAGTAAGACGGGGTCTTGCTCTTGCTCAGGCTGGTTTCGAACTCCTGACCTCAAGCAATCCACCTGCCTCAGCCTCCCAGAGTGCTAGGATTACAGGCGTGAGCCACCGCGCCCGGCTTGTGCTAATCTTTTTAAGAAGTCCTTCTCCATGAAGGACTTCATGAAGATCATAAAGACATTTTCTTATACTTACTTCTAAAACTTCTGAAGTTTTGCTGTTCACATTCAGCGTTCTAGGGCTTAGCAAACTGCAGCTTGTGGGCCA